CGCCCAGACGGGGGGGGGGGGGGGGGGGGGGTGTCCTATGCAGACAAGGCTCCTGAACCAGCCCGTCCAAGCATCTCTCCTCTCAGCACCCCCCCAGCCTGGCTTGGAGACCTACCCAATGCCACTGGCAGAGCTGGGGAGAGAACCCAGGTGGCTCACGGGCCAGCTCAGCCCCCTACATGCCCTCCTTTCTCTGTCCCTCCCAGTGCCTGACGGGCTCCTCACAGACCCCGAAGAGGAGGAGACCCCGCCGTTGGGGGACGCAGAGGCCGGCGCACCACCGGAGGCTGCTTCGCCGCCCCCCACCCTAGCTGGGCAGGCCAGGCCGCGGAGGAAGGCGCCGGCACGGCGGCTGGGCAAGGCGGCACCGTGCGAGCGGGGGCTGCGGAAGCTGCGGGACCTGCTGGTGCTGCGGCGGGCGCCGGCCCGGCTGCGCCCCACCATCTGCGGGGAGGGCGGCAAGGGCTTCAGCCGTAGCTCGGACCTGGTGCGGCACCAGATCACACACACGGGCGAGAAGCCGTACCGCTGCACAGCCTGCGGCAAGGGCTTCAGCCAGCACTCCAACCTGGTGACCCACCAACGCATCCACACGGGCGAGAAGCCCTACCAGTGCCGGGACTGCGGCAAGCGCTTCAGTGTCAGCTCCAACCTCATCCGCCACCGCCGCACCCACACCGACGAGAAGCCCTACATCTGCGTGGAGTGCGGGGAGGCCTTCCGCCACAAGGCCCAGCTCCGGCGCCACCAGCAGCTGCACGCTGCCTAGGGGGGTGGGAGAGTAGGAGGGGCATGGGGTCGGGGTGGGGGGCTCGGGGCTTCATTGCAGGGGGTGTTGAGGCATTGGTAGATCTCTCCCTGCTGTGGTGGTAAGGTGTCCAAGGGGATTAGGCACCCTGGCAGGTTGCACCCATAGGTTTTAGGTGCCATCAGTACTCGTGGTTTCTGATGTCCTCAATCCCTGCTGCTTTTGCTTCTATATCCTATAAGAAGCTTGTGTCTGCTGTACCTAATGCCCTTGGGCTCCTTGGAAAAGCCTTTCAAGCTTCCCTCTGGCCACAGACTCCACCCTGGAGCAACTGCAGCTTTACCAGTAAGACTGGAGGGTGCTGAAGAAGCTGAAACAGCTGGAGGGGGGAGACCATCGAGGCAGCACAAACTCACATCCTGGCCAGAAGGAGCCAAGGGCAAAGCTGTGAGAGCCCGAGGTACCGAACAGCGAGCCGGACCCCCATGGAATAGCAGAGCCACACGCTTGCTCCAGCTGCCTCTGTGGATGAGAGGCAAGAACTGGCCCCGTGTCCGACCCATCCCTGACCGAGCGGTGATGCACAACATTTGTTCGCACCTGTTGCCCCAGAGCCACATCCCCGATTCCCGAGGCATGGGCTCGACTTGGGGCTTGAGCTTCACGTCTCCCTGAGCTCAGCCACGTTGGTCCCGATTCAGGAGAGCGCAAAGTGGAGTCACCTCTCCTGGCTCTAGACATCTCGACTGCTGTGAAGACCCACTCCAGAAGCCTACGCATCGTCCCAGGAGCTCGCTGGATGGCGTGAGGATGAAGAGGAAGAAACAACAGATTATTGCTTGCAAGGAGGAGAGCATTCCTTGAGGGAGAAACTAAACCCAGACACAAGGGACAAAGGAGGGGCGTTCTAGGCTGGTAATAGGACTGGCGAAGACACCTACAAGAAACACTGTCGAAGAGAGCGCAACCAGGCATCTGGCAGCCAAAGCAGAGCACATGATGCAGACTTCATGGGGTGGCAAGGGACCCCGAGCCCTCTGCGTGACACAGGCAGATCCCCATGCGGTGGGGCAGCAGCAGTTGATATAGTGCCTCTGGTGAAAGGAGATCCCTGGAGACCTGCTATAGATAGTGAAACCAGGATGACTCTCTTGGGGAAAAAGGGCTGGAACAAGGGGGAATGTTCCTCTTCAGTAAGAAAATCATCTAGTGGACACTGGGAGACCTAGAGACCATCCTTGCTCCTTGGTGGCTTCTCATCTCTCAGCAGAAGTTGCTGGCTCTGATCTAGAAGCAAGAAGAAACCCACCAGCTACCAGGACAAAAGGATTTTGGAAGATCCCAAGGGGTGAATGTCAGGGATTTCTCACTGATGTGGAAGAAAGCGGTGGGGCGGCTTGGAGATCCCAGCTCCGAAACCCAATCCTCAGGTGTCGGCGACACCACGGTGCAAGCATTGTAAGGAAACAATACATGGAGGATGGTGAAGCCCTCAAAATCTCGGCCTCTGACGATGCCCCTCATGGCCTGGGAGACGACTGGAATTTGTTCCTGAAACCAGCTGCCCTCCTCCAGGGTTTAACAGGCAAAGGTCTCCAGAAGCTGAGAGTCCAAGCGAAACTTTGGAGGGGCGGGGGCACGGAAAAACTCACAGACTCTCACTCTCCCCAGCATGGAGACCTGCCTGGTAAATGGACAGAGACAGACCCAGCGACGAGGGCATTCCCAAATGCACATATGTATCATAGCGCTGTAACGGAGGCAGATGTTAGTCAGGTCCAAGGCAAACCTGGCGTTGGGTCCTCCCAGGTCGGGGTGTCACTGTATATACGAGTTGCTCGTGCAGCATGGCTAGCCGTGTGGCAGCGTAAAGATAAGCATAGAATAGTTTTGTAGGCAGATCCAAATTAACGTAGCGATGAGGTCGTCAGTGGGGACCCTGAGCTCTGGATAGGTTCATTCCTGTCCTCAGCTCTACAGGAGCTTCTTTTTCAAGCCAGGAATGGGTGGGGTTTTGGGAGACATACCAGCTCCTACTGATCTCAAGCTGGGTTCCTAATTCCCATAGGCGCCTTTGGAAAACCCAAGCACTTAACAGCACCAGCAAGGACCAGCTGCCAAGGTAAGAGCAGGCGATGGAGAATAGTCTGCCTGCTCTTAGCTAAAATAGGCAAGGGGGCCTTTTCCGGACACCCCTTCAGCATGGAGGGGACTAGACAGTCTGGGCATGGGGTGGTTGTACCGGCTGGGCAATGAGGACAAGGGTATTAACGAGCATCCAGGATGTGATGGTCCATATGGCCAATCCGAACTCCTGGATCCCCGATGCCAGCGTGGCAAAAGCCTTGAGTTGCACTAAGTAGCCCAAGAAACACAGCCCCTGCCAGTACAGGGAGGGGATCATGCCTTCCTAGGACTAGGAGCCTTTATGCCTGTATAACTGTTTCCATGCTACAGGGTTGTGCTGGTCTAAACCTACCAGTAAAATAATCCCTGCCCCCCACTACCTGTATGGACCGGCATATGTCCTGTAGAGACCAGGCCAAAGGGCGGGTGGCTGGCAGCTGGGCTGAGATGCAAGGGGTGAGTCTGAGTGGAGAACAAGATGGGTCCAATCCCAAGGGACAAGGGGTCTGTGCAGGAGCACAAGCGAGCAACGGGAACACAGTTGCTCCCATCTCAAAAGGGGTGGAGAAAGGGGGCAAGCACAAAGCTGAAGCCTGTGGGAAGGGGTCCTGATCCTGCCCAGGGCACGTCCCCATGCAGAATGGCAGTGGGTTTTCAACTGGCTTAGTGAAACGGGGGCACAAGATAGGAGGTCTTCTGGTATCTGCCAGGCTGGTCTGGCTGCAGCTCGTTAGGCCTGGTTCGTACGAGCTGTGCTGAGATGGTTTGACGGATACCTGGGGCAAGTCTGAGCTGCTGCAAGCAGCTGCAGGGCACCGTGCCCACTCCCTGCCACGGTACAAACCCAGCCATGTGGCACCCAAAGTGCGGCAGTGGGTAAAATGTGTTTGCAGGGCATGGTGAGATACCTGCCAGTGGTGTTGAAGGGGCCATCTCCCCTGCTCCTTCCTGCTGCATCCTTTAATCCGCCTGTATCCTGCCAGCCTGCCCCAGGCTTTCAGCGGAGCTGAAGTGGCAGCGTCCGCACCAGTTGCGACCCGGTGAATCCAGGTGGAGGGAAACACATCCAGGGAACTACTCCAAGTGCGATAGAGGAGCAGCAGCTGGGCTGCTCAGGCTAGGGCAAGCGTACGGCGGTTGGTAGGTGCTGAATAGCGCATAGGACTTTGGCTAAGTGAACCCGTGGCTACTGTTTTCTAATCAATAAAACAGCCTGTTCCGCGACTGCCTGGCTTCTCTGATGTCTCTGCCAGTGCTGGGCTGCAAAACTGTGAGATCGGGATTCAAAATCCTGAGATGGCATCTTCATTGGGGGGTGACATCATCACTGCAGGGTGACGTCATCATCAGGGGGAGACACCATCATGGGGAGGTGACTTTTTTTTATGCCACGTGAGCCTTGGGAGGAGCGGGGAATGGTTTCTTGCTCTGCCCTGCAAGAAGGAAGGGGAGAAATGTCTATTCTTAGTAGGCTCTTAGGTGCTGTGTGGTTCCTGCTGCACGTGCCAGCAGCACCAACCTCCCCTGGGTGGCCAATTCTCCAGGGGGGAGTCTGGCTCTTCCCAGGGGCATCGCTGGCCTGCCCGCTGCTCAGATGGGCTCCCTGGAGCTGATCGCGCCCGAGCTGCCTCTGATCACAGCAGGGAGATTCCTTGAGGCCAGTGCTGGGGTGCAGGGAAGCAGGTGTAACCCTCTCCCCCTGCCTCAACAGCAGCAGGCGTGGAGAAGGGGGGGCAAGCACAAAGCTGAAGCCTGTGGGAAGCGGTCCTGATCCTGGAGTCTGCTCCTAAGGCCCAGCTGTATCTGCAGCCGCAACTCTTGGGAGCCGGGCAAAGCCGCCAGGAGGGACAGGGCCCCTGGGCAGGACTTGGAGGTGGTCTGGAGCAGGGTTCCAGGTTCCCAGGGCTCAGGAGTAGGGAGACTTTTAAAAAGCCCCATCTCCTGGAGTCCTGTTATTTCATCACCGGCCCCAAGTAACACTTTATAGGCTGCAGAGTTGGTTTCCTGACCCAGCCTACTTTCAAGCCAGGGTATGTCTAGACAGAGAGCTGAGCAGTGTCTGATTAATCTCACCCATGTTTCAGCCACAGACAGCGGTGCCACGATCCCCAGCGGCCCAGCTGGTCACATGTGGCAGGGGACCTGGCCACCAGCCGTAGATCTGGAGGGCCAACGAAGCCCATGGTGGCCAGCCTGGGACCCCGCCTGCCTGCATGCGATAAGGAAATCCAAACGCAGGCCTACTCCTTGGACCCCCAAGTGGGGACCACACGTGGCTGGGGAGAGGAAGCAGGGGTTGTGGTTCCCTCCTATCCCCCAGCTCTGTGTGGTGGGGAGGTGAGCTGGGTGCTGTCAAAGTGAACATCTAGCCTTTTGGGCCGCCAGGCTCCTACACAGTATGGCTAGGACCATGCAAGATCCGTTTTTTTCCAGGACTTGTGCACACAAGAGGGTTTCATGTTTTAAAGGGCTGGATTTAAAGCAACTGGGAGAACTCGGCGCAAAACCCCTGCCTCGGCATGGATTCGGGTGAAAAGGCAGCTTCCTCTGAGTAACGGGGAAGCAATGGAGTTCAACTGGAGTAAGTGCGAACCCACATGCCTGATTCAGCTAAGCCGGTTTCAAATTGATTTGGGGCCAAGGCTTCTCAAGTGCCCCTTCCACCAGGGCACTTGCCACAGGGAGGCAACCAGCCACGCCAGCCTCTGCGGCTTTAGACCTCGTCCTCGCAAAGGCCACAGCAGACACCTGCATTTTCACCTGGACTGCAACATCCCTTCCCACAGCCTTGTCTGAGCTATTCCCACAACCCCACCATCAGCCCAGTTGAATGATACCTAGACACCTGGAGCCCCCCAACCTGTCCCAGGCAAAGCTGGGAGCCAAGGGCTG